GGTACAGGTGGGTCTGAGGTCAGCCACAGGGCAGGTGGGCAGTGGCAAAAGTGTGCAGGGCTGCCCCCTTCTTCTGAAGCTCTCTCCCCACCAGACACCCTTTCCGCTCTCTCTGCCACTTTCGTACCAGCCAACGTTTCTCCGACCAATCAGAAGGTCAGCGGTTCGAATCCCTGTGATGGGGTGAGCTCCCGTTGCTCAGTCCCAGCTCCTGCCAACCTAGCAGTTCGAAAGCACGTCAAGTGCAAGTAGATAAATAGGTACCGCTCCAGCGGGAAGGTAAGCGGCGTTTCCGTGCGCTGCTCTGGTTTGCCAGAAGCGGCTTAGTCATGCTGGCCACATGACCCGGAAGCTGTATGCCGGCTCCCTCGGCCAGTAAAGCGAGATGAGCGCTGCAACCCCAGAGTCGGCCACGACTGGACCTAATGGTCAGGGGTCCCTTTACCTTTACCTTAATGTTTTATTATGTTTTATATGTGCTGGAAGCTGCCCAGAGTGGCTGGGACAACCCAGTAAGATGGACAGGGAACATTAACAAACTTCCGTATCCAGGGCTGCCTTCAGATGTCTTCTAAAGGTTGTATATTACTTACTTGGTAGTCCCAGCCACTCTGGGCAGCTTCCAGCACATATAAAAACATAATAAAACATTAAGGTAAGGTAAAGGGCCCCCTGACCATTAGGTCCAGTCATGGCCGACTCTGGGGTTGCGGCGCTCATCTCGCTTTATTGGCCGAGGGAGCCAGCGTACAGCTTCTGGGTCATGTGGCCAGCAGGACTAAGCCGCTTCTGGCGAACCAGAGCAGCGCACAGAAACGCCGTTTACCTTCCCGCCAGAGTGGTGCCTATTTATCTACTTGCACTTTGACGTGCTTTCGAACTGCTAGGTGGGCAGGAGCAGGGACCGAGCAACGGGAGCTCACCCCGTCGCGGGGATTCGAACCGCCGACCTTCTGATCGGCAAGTTCTAGGCTCAGTGGTTTAACCCACAGAGCCACCCGTGTCCCTTAATAAAACATTAACAAACTTCCGTATCCAGGGCTGCCTTCAGATGTCTTCTAAAGGTTGTATATTTCTCCGATGGAAATAGGGACGACCTAAGGAAAAGCTGGGGACGCGGGTGGCATTGTGGGTTAAACCACAGAGCCTAGGACTTGCTGATTGCAAGGTCGGCGGTTCGAATCCCCGCAGCGAGGTGAGCTCCCATCGTTCGGTCCCAGCTCCTGCCCACCTAGCAGTTCGAAAGCACAATCTAAGTGCAAGTAGATAAATAGGTACCGCATTATAGCGGGAAGGTAAACGGCGTTTCCGTGTGCTGCGCTGGTGCTGGCTCGCCAGATGCAGCTTCGTCACGCTGGCCACGTGACCCGGAAGTGTCTTCGGACAGCGCCGGCTCCCGGCCTCTTGAGCGAGATGAGCGTGCAACCCTAGAGTCGGTCACGACTGGCACTGACGGGCAGGGGTACCATTTTAAGGAAAAGCTGGACATTCTGGGATCAAATCAGAAACCAGGACAGCCTCTGAAAATCCAGGACTGTCTTTGAGGGACACTTTGAGGGACTGTAGAATGATCCTGTTTTCACCAGAGAATGTTGGAGCGTATGTACATAGCTAGGGCAGGGGAGGAAAGCAAAAAAGGCCAGTTTTCAAGAGATGGTTTTAAACAGCAGCTGTTTCTATAAAGCCGGGATGGAGGGTGGCACGTGGGGTTAACAAGCAACACAAGCACCTTGTCATATATTATTATATTGTTTTTGCAGACCCCTCCGGATGGTGGAAAGGACGGCTTCATGGGAGAGAAGGCCTCTTCCCCGGGAATTATGTTCAGAAGATCTGAGCAACTCTCCATCCTGTGGCCTAGAGCCCAAGCAGGGCAGTAAACAGGCCAGATCATACAAAACCAGCTCTTGAAACAGAGAGAGCTTGCGCCATGCGCAAAGAACCCCTGCCACATGCGTTGCAAAGCACATGGGAGTCAGGAACGCTGCCTCCTTGACTGCTGTTTCCAAAACTGCAAACACTTTGGCATGTGGGTTTTTTTCAGCTGGGAAAAGGCAACCTTTGCACCCCAGCACTCATTGTGTTGATATTTTTTGCTGTTCTGGTGCTATCTAAAGGGGTACGGCAAGTAGGGAATTTTTTAAAAAAGGGATATGAGTTATTGAGGCATGCTGGCGGAGGCATTGCACAACGACCGCCTTGATGTGTTCTCTGCACAATGTTGCAATGCTTTTTTGGGCAGGGGGGGTGAGTGGGAGAGGCAGGGAGGCCCAGGAAGGAATTAAAAACGCCGTTTCGAAATACACATTGTCTTCCTCGTAATGTCAGTTTAGGATACAAGCACGCTCATTTGAAGGAGGGGACATGGGCATAGCCAAGGGAGAAGCTGCCCCCCCATCAAGTAAATAAAAATACTTATCTAAAAGTAGAAATAATGAGAATATGGGAACTGAAATCCTCGCTGAGTTCAAAAGCAAGTAATTTAAAAGGAAGTAATTTAGAACAACAGTTGTTGAGACATTTCATTCTGAACCTACCAGCCTTTCTCAACCTGTGGGCCCCCAGATGTTGTTGAACTACAACTCCCATCACCCCTAGCTAGCAAGGCCAGAGCTCAGGGATGATGGGAGTTGTAGTCCAACATCTGGGGACCCACAGATTGAGAACTGCTGCGAGCCAGGCAGAGGATGGGGATAGGTGGGGGGCCTGCAGCCCCCTAACCTAAAACTGGCTATGCTCATGGGAGGGGAAGCCTTGGCCCATTTTGATTTGCTAAAAATCAAGGGTGTGCCTGTTTGCAGAATTTAGCTTCCCCAGTTGTGTAAAGTGGATTGGGCTCATGGCCACTGATTGTTCCAAGGTGGGGGAGAACAGTTAGGGAAATAGGAAGATCCTTTATTTTGAGCCAGGCCACCAGGCTCAGTTTTATCCACAACAGCGGTTGCCAAACCTTTAGGGACCAGCACCCCCTACAAAAAGCATGGATCAGAATAGCGCACAGCCCGCCAAGGAAGATCACAAGGCAATCAAGATTCAAAACGGTAAACATCCATCGCAATTTATTTAAAATCTATTTGGAACTATTTAGTTGAATTAATTCAACAAATGGGACTTAGAATCATGGAATCGTTCGACCAGTGTCATTCTAACCTAGAGGCATTGGCCTTTATTTCTATGATTATGATTCATTGGGGTTGGAGCCACCATCTTGCTCGCATCAGACTGAGAGCTTTAGCATAGAATTGTAGAGCTGGAAAGGACCACCAAGGGTCATCTAGTCCAACCCCCTGCAATGCAGGAATCTCAACTAAAGCATCCATGACAGATGGCCATCCAAACTCTGCTTAAAAACATCTACATCCCTTTAATTTTCGGCTTGGGCAAGATGTGTCCAAAACATCGCCCCCTTTCCTTCTGGCTCAGAGATGGGGCACCTCAGGCGTTGGGGACAACTGAGGTCCTGCAGACCTTCCTCTCTGGCCCTGGACACTCCCCAGCCCTGCCTCACTTTCCTCCAGTGCTTTTAGCTTTGACAGAACGTGCCAATGAACTGCGGCAACACCTCTTGCTGGTCTGGATAGACTCAGTAGACTAGCATGGGTAGGCAAACTAAGGCTCCGGATCCGGTCCAATCGCCTTCAAACGGTCCAGGAATCAGTGTTTTTTTACATGAGTAGAATGTGTCATTTTATTTAAAATGCATCTCTGGGTTATTTGTGGGGCATAGGAATTAATTCCCCCCCCAAAAAAAATATAGTCCGGCCCCCCAACAAGGCCTGAGGGACAGTGGACCAGCCCCCTGCTGAAAAAGTTTGCCTATCTTGTGAGCAGTGTACGTACGTGACCCTCAGGTAAAGATCACAGCGGCAAGCATTTTGCCTTGGCGTCCGATTTGTCTGTGTAGACAATGCTCAGCTAGGTGGACCCATGGTTTGCTGCAGTGTAACTGGCAAAAGTAGACTGTAGTTTGTCTCGAGATGGGAACACAGGATGGGTGGTTTTTTAACAAAGACTCTGGCAAGGGGCTGCATTACAGGGTATAAAACCAGCTGCCACCTAGGATTAAAGGAACGGAGTTGAGAAGCCACGGGTTGGAACTTCTCATAGCAACAAGCTCAACTGAGGCGAGGGGACATGGTAGAGAAGTAAGAATGCAGAGACGTGCACATTTCCTACAGCTGCTTGTCTGGACTGCTGCAACAACTCAAACACCAGTCCCAATTTAAGATGACCAGGCACTAGGGCTGGGCGATATCTTGATAAAACCTGCTTTGGATGATATAAGTTCGTATCCCGCTATCGGTTTCATAATTTTTGACCTGGCAATATACTGCAAATCATAGTGTCTGTGTGTGCTATGCAAAAATCAGAACGTGGGGAAAACCACGAAGCCAGCCAATGACTCTACATAGCTCCATCCTTCTCAATCAGTGTGGTACATTATTGCGATGTTTAGCTAGTGATATATTGTGATGTTGAACACCAGCTATCGCCCAGCCCTACTAGGCACCTAGGAAACAGCCAAGTCCCTGCTTGCAGGACACAGGAAAGTAATCTTAAGAGGCCCACTCAGCACCCTAGAATCCCATCTATCTTGAAGCAATACTGACAATAACACAAATGAGCCACAACCTGGAAAGGCTCAGAATCGGCAACAAATTACGTTATTGAGAAGAGGACCCCCAACAAGGCCAGGTGATGTTGTGTGGAATATGCAACTGTGTTGCTTGAAAGGACCCTGATTTGAGTAAAAAACTATTCCCTGAAGAAACTGAACCTTCACAGTAGGACCAACGTCATGATCTCGTCAGCAAAGCTAGGGAACACGCACCGCTTTTCTCGATGTTGCTGAACTACAAATGCCATCTGCCTCCACCACACTAGCTAGGAATGAGAGGAGCCGAGAACCCAACATGCCTCACTACTGCTCTCCAAGTCCAGGCTAAAAAACCCCTTCCTAGCCGAACATACCAACTGTTATTAAACATTAAAACTAGCAATAAAGTAAAATATAAACTTTTATTTAGAATTAAAAGCAAATACTTCAGTATCACAAACACACAATATTAAACTTCCAAGAAATATACTGCTAATTTGGAGTGAGCATTTATTTTTTTTTTCTTTGCACAATCACAACATGCGGACAAATCCAGGAGAGAGAAAAAAAAACAAGATGACAAACAGGTGGAAATTTTCAACATCTTTCCCCCCACACCACCACCACCAGAGCAGCCTGTCACAAATAATTCGTACAAAGGAACAAGTCATCTTTCTTTCTTTCTGGCGCTTGTGCGCTACGCGTCATTTAAAGATGTTGACAAAATTTCTACAGATTCATCTTTGACAAAGAGAAAACAAGAGAGAAAAGCTCTAACAAGGCAAACACTGCAATCTAGTCTTCTTCGGAAGAGTCTCGTTCGAAGGTGTACGCCATGAAGCAAGCATCGGGTCTCTTGGGGACAAGGGCATGCCCGGGTCTCACAATCTCAAAGCCCAAGAAGCTGAAAGTACGGAGCAGCGAGGCTGCCGAGGAGAGAAGAGATGTAGGATGAGTTCCCCAGACGAAATTAAACACCCGTTTGCCCCCCATCTCCCACCCATGCCTCCAGGGAGGTGACACGGGTTCCTCGCACGCACACCCAGCCAGCCACAAAGCCAGCCTCTCTTACCTCTGTCGTCTCTATTCTTGTGGAAGCAAATGAAGACATGGTCCACTTGAAGTTGTTCTTCAGCAAACTCAAGAAGAACTGCAAAACTGGAGGTGGGGGGGAAAGAACAGGAAGCAAGTGAAAACTCTTGTTTTCCACTTCCCTGCTCAAGAAGTATTTTATGCAACTGTGGTTTTGATTTGGGCAGAGGAAAAGCAGCAGAAGCTCCTTAAGGAGCCAGCAGCTGCCATTTATAGCTTAATAATCTCCTGGGGCTGAACGGACTACAGAAATTACCCAGGATGGCCTCTGCCCCGCAATGCTACCGTCAAGAACTGGTTTTAGGAATTAAGATGCACGTGTGGGAACTCAGAAGAACCTGGACTGCATTCCTTTCCCGTTAAACACAGGCCTCTCTTTTTTGAAGCCCCACACCACCTCTGTGGAAAAGCACGAAACATGTATGTACTTAATAGGTACAAATGTAGAATAGCGCAGGTTCCCCAGGACCAATTTAACGAGAAATTCCTCCATTCTCCTGTAAAGGGAAGGGGGGGCACCTAGTATTTGAACAGCCTCAGCATATCCCTGTTGCGCCACCAGCACCACCTGATCCCCAGTGGCCAATTAGATGCCTCTGGGAAGCCCATCAGCACAGTCTGAAAGACATCAACCTCCCCCCCCCCCCGCAGCAGCACACTGTCTGCAAACACGGAGGGTCCACTTAGCCATAGCAGCCAATTGTCAGCAGATAGACTACTCATCCGCTGTGAACCTGCCTAATCAGTGTGTAAAGCACACCGCACAACACAACACCAAGAAGTGCATCAAGGAGAGACCCTGAGGGCAGTTCTGTAAAAGCCACAGATTCAGGAACGAGACTTGACCATAGCTATAAATTTGCTGGCGGCCTCCCTCACCCCACTCCGACCATGACAACAACCGAGGCACACCTGAACTCCTTCCGCCCTTTACCTGTCCTTGCTCCCTTCAGGCAGAGCGCCATTGGGAATTTCGATGTACAAGTTGTTATTGTTCAACACAGCTTTCCAGCTGATGTGTTTGGCATCCGTAAGCCTGGACTGGACATTCAGGATTCTTGTCCTGTTATTGGATGTTATCTCTTCTGTTACATTCAGCCGATTATCCTAAAGGAAACAAAATGGTGTTTTTTTTATCTGCTTATGGCTGTGGGGAAAGCGTTAGGCTGAACCTACTGTGAGTCCCGCTCAGAGTAGACCCACTGAAGTTAAAGGGCACATCTCAGCCTAATCTCTAAAACCCTTAAAATATGCAGGGATTAACCCCACGTGCAGAGCACAAGCATACTTACGGAATAAAATAAGTTAGCTGAAAGATTGTGATCCCTCTGACAATTCCCTCGCCCACCTGGGATCTTCAGGGGTGGGTGAGGGGCATCAGGAGCACCACCGAGGCCCCGGACCCAGGTTACTACAGCAACTGAAGGACACTCTGGAACTGAGAAAAAGAGGGGGGGAAAGCGGTCAGGGTTGCACACCTAGGGAGGGCATCAGAATTTCTTATGGACTAGTAGCATGAGCTCCAAGTTTGAACAAGCCTACCAAAAATTAACATACCCCCCCCAATTGCTTCCAACTCCAAGAATCATGCAAATGTCACACTTGTCTGTTGAATGCTAATGCACAAAACAATCTGGATGCACTCCACTGATATTCAAGCCTGCTGTTTTGCTATCTGCTATTCTCTGGGGAGTTGCTTAAGTTTTCAGTTAACGGGCGCTCCAACCCATGAAACAGGCGGGGGCCGGGGAGAGGACTAAAAGGCTCCCATTCTAGTTGTTTAACTAGAACTCTATTGCCCCATCAGCCCACAAACATGTTCATTCCCTATTAGCCTCTTGCCGCACTCACATTCTATAGAACTGGAAGCCCTTTCCTTTCCCCTTTGCTGGTTGCAATAAAATACATAAAACTTCATTAATCCATAATATGTTTTGTTTCTTTCTACTGGGAATTTAATACTGGGAGCAGCAAGCCTGCAAGCTAAATTGGAGAACTGCCATTTAAAAACAGAAAAATAAAGGGGCATGCATCCACACGTTAAGAATGGAACTTGCAGCTGCAAAATACCAACCACTATTTCTGAATTTCTAAGCTGCCATTTAAATGTCCCGCACAGCTGAAGCAAGCTAGCCGCGCAGCATTCACATACAGTGCTATGTCAACAGCAAACCAGCTGAATTGAATGTGCGTCGTCTCCTTTTTAACATCAACAGCAGGTGACGATAATCGCTGTCCCGCTTAGCCCCTCCCTCTGCACCATCCTTCACCCTGCAGGCTCTCACTGGATGCGTCACCTCAGCAGATGAAGCAGATCAAGGTTCCCCTCGGGGAAATTCTCACAACCATCCTGCCAGCAGCCATTTGCAAAACAGTATAAACAAGGGGTGGGGAGGAAGTCCTGTCATCCACCATTTTGAACAGCCAAAAAAGAAACAACCGCCCCACTAATCCCTTAACGCGATATGCAGTGCTTTGCTCAAAGGATTGCACAACAATCCGATTTATTTTATTCCCCCTTCAGCACCACACAAGCTGGGCTCAAGGTTGCTCAATGGGGGGGGGGGGGCGGGAATGATTGAGTCATCTGAGGCGCAGAAAAATGCTGCTCCGGGTTACAATGGTTTGTGACTTCTTTTAAGGTCTTCTGACAGACAGTATAGTGCTACCTCGGGTTAAGTACTTAATTCATTCAGGCGGTCTGTACTTAACCATGTACATTTGCTATTGTAATTTCTGGTTTGATGCCATAGGCCCAACATCCAGTTACTAACTCCATCGTCTTACAATGCTCTGTGCTGTTTCAGTTTGGATGAGTGGGAGAATGGTTCCCAGGCAGGAAACCACAGGGCATGTTTTATTTTTTTTTATTAAATTTGGCAGTTGCTTTATCTTGCTCAGGGCAACCCAAAATGGCATACAACCAAACTGACAAATAACAAACGCCACTTAGGTACATTAAAATCAAATCTCCTTCCTTGGAGGTTTTTAAGCAGAGGTTGGATGCCCATCTGTCACGAGTGCTTTAGCTGAGATTCCTGCATTTCAGGGGGTTGGGCTGGATGACCCTTGGGGATCCCTTCCAACTCTGCAATACATTAAAAACACCCCGCCCTCGTCTAAAAGGCCACAGATAGTTAAAGGCCTGGTTACAGAGGACAGTTTTTACCTGGTGTCTAAAGATAAAGGATTGCGCCAAGAGAACTTCTCTGGGGAGAGCATTCCAGAAACGGGGAGCCACCACAGAAAAAGGTCCATTCTAGTGTTCAAGATCTACCACCCTTAGTGTTTTCTATCATGAACTCAGCTCTCTCCTTAAGTAGCCATTACGCCCAGGGTTCAACACCCCTCTACCCTTGCAGTCTGCCAAAGAATCGGCCCTGTTACGCAGGAAGCCCAAGCTGCTTATCTAAAGACAACTGTTTCTATTCAGTGTAACCAAGACTGCAATCCACTGGTAGGGGACCAATGGCCAGTTCCCCATGGATCACCTAACTAAGGCAGGCTCCTGCGGGCCTGGATCTGAGAAAGCATGGATGTCTTGGGTGCTCTTGAGTAGGAAAATCACTTGAAAGATAGGTTGGCTGTGCCTCACCTGTCTGTGGATCCAAATTATGCACTCTTGCTTTGTAAATTCAACACCCACTGTTGAACCGAGAGGATTCAAAGCAAGAGAAGGGAGACTATTCCAGACTGGATTCAACCCAGCTCCAGTTTCAACTCCCTGCAAAAGCATTTGCCTTTAACTCAAACCCCCCTGCATTGTGTTCTGAGGTCATTTCAACAGCGCTGCCATGGCTGTTCTGAGAAATAGTGGTCTGATTCAAGCCCCACCCCCGAAGGATAGTTGACAGGAGGGAATTCATTCTTGCACTGCAGTGGGGTGGACTAAATGACCCAAGGGGGTCCCTTCTATGACGACCCTGCTCTATCCAAACCTAGCTGATCAACACCTAGAGCACATCAAGGGACAAACTCAATCTCTGGGAGAAGAGCTGACCCAAGCTTCTCACCCCACCAACATCCCAAGCAGGGGATGACTCAAGTTTACACTACCATGTGCTACTGCATACTTAATCCAGCCTGGCCAATGATTAGGGACAAGGAAGACACCATGTTGGGAGCGGTTTGGCTAAACAATGCTCTCTGCAACAAGGTTTTAGGCAAGTGGTGTCAGGAAGAACATGAAGGCAACCATTGCCACAGCATTCAGTTACAGGGGTACCTCCGGTTGCGGGTGGGATCCATTCCGGAGCTCCGGTCAGATCCAGAGTTTTTTTGCAACCAGAGGTGCCTGTTCTGTGCATGCGACGAAACCCGGAAAAATACTTCCGGGTTTGCCGCATGCGTATCCTGAAGGATACGTAACCAGAGGTGTGCGTAAGTAGAGGTACCACTGTATATGCCTTGTACACTATGCTTCAGAGATCCAAATCCCAGAGCAGGAAAGGAATATGGCCTGTACCTCTTAATTATGTAGGGAACAGGCCACAGTGTAAAGTATTACATGTAAAAAAAAGCCCGGACCTTGCTTAAAGCGGGTCAGAGATCCAATTTCCCACCCCTGGCTTGGTCAAAACAAGATGTCTTTCTCAGAGAAACAGATTTCTTTTCTTTAAAAAAAAACCATTCTTGGATCAGCTGCTACTTTTGCACTGAGATTTGAGAAAAGGGAGCTGAGGCATGGGCGACTACAGAGAAGCTTCTTTGCAATGGTTCTGGCAGGGGCTACAACCATCTCTTCTGCGCTCATGAAGAAGGGCAAGGCAAGTGAGGAAGGACTATTAGAGGGTTAAAGGGATGCAAGTGCCACCCAAGATGTCTCCAGCATTCACTTCCACCCCCATTTCTCATTCTTGAAGGAACATCCCTTCCTAGGTAGTGCCAATAAAGTGTGCACCTGCAGATCTTAGCAGACAGACAGAAGTGACAGGTTTGGGGGAAGGGGAAGTGGCTCCTCCGCCAGTTCTGGGAAGGTGCAGTTGGCCAAGGCCCCATGCCATCTCTAATGGCACTAAGAAAGGAAGTTCAGGGCAAGCCACACCCAGAGGACAACAGCTAGGAAACTCCCCACTCTCCCCGAGGCGGACAGTTACATCTCAATAATGCTCAGTTTGAGGTGCTTCTTCTAACATGATGAAAAGTGGAGGGAAGGACATTATTAAGCCCTACTGCTGGCAAGAGTGAATTAAGTGCTTGCCTTGTGAATTTGTCCCCACCTCAAATATTGTTTAAAGCCCCCACCCCTTTTCTAAAAGGTGGTCCCATTTCTGAATTCAGTGACATGGGAAATCTAGACGCGGCTTTTACTAAACCTGGCGCCCTCCACAGGTTTTGAACTTCCATCTCCCATAAGCGCCAGCCAGGACTGCCACTGGTCATTGCAGCCCAAAAGGTTTGGAGGGTACTAGGTTGGTGAAATCTGATTTGGATTATGTAGTAAAGACACTGTTTTCTTTTTACACACACTCTCTATGTATCGAACGGGGCTTCCCTCTACTTGGGACCCTAGTGTTATACATAGCCACTTGGAAGAATTGTTTAAATGTGGTTATTTTAACAATGCACATCAGTGATAAAATTTGCACTGCTGAAGATTTGCCTTTGCTGTATGAATACATAGGATATTCTGCAAAAAAAAAAAAAGTCAGATGGGTATATGTGTGAAAGCTCAAGTTGCTACAGCACAAGATTCTTTAATCTCAGGGTAGTGGGTTTGAGCCCCACATTAGGCAGAAGATTCCTGCATTGCAGGGGTTGGACTGGATGACTCTAGTGATCCCTTCCAACTCTACAATTCCTGTGTAATGTAAAAGGTAAAGGAACCCTGACCATTAGGTCCAGTCGTGGCCGACTCTGGGGTTTAGGCGCTCATCTCGCTTTACTGGCCGAGGGAGCCGGCGTACAGCTTCCGGGTCATGTGGCCAGCAGGACTAAGCCGCTTCTGGCGAGCCAGAGCAGCGCACGGAAACGCCGTTTACCTTCCCTCCAGAGTGGTACCTATTTATCTACTTGCACTTGACGTGCTTTTGAACTGCTAGGTTGGCAGGAGCTGGGACTGAGCAACGGGAGTTCACCCCGCCGCGGGGATTCGAACCGCTGACCTTCTGATCGTCAAGTCCTAGGCTCTGTGGTTTAACCCACAGCGCCACCCACGTCCCCTTCATTCATTAATGTAGATTTCCCTAAATAAAGGTAGAACCACTGCCTTCCCCGTGATTGACAAAGGGGTCGTAAATATCTCTCCACAAGGATTAGGCAGGTGCTCCACTTTTATGTATCCCTGCACAGGAACTGTTTTTCACAAAAGGCTCCCAAGGTTTTGATAGGGAAGAGTGGAAGTTGGTGCCCATTTTTCCTTTATGATGTCACTCATTTCCCTGAAACTTATACTGAGTAAGGTGTCTAAAAATGTCTTGCGTCTCAAGGGAGGGATGAAGCCTTTCCCCTAATGATAAAAAGAGGATTTGTATTTTGTCTGGATCAGCGGAAGGTCTCTCATGTAACCAGTGACCTCGTCTGCAACAAATGAGAGCAGAACCTCATTCTTTCCTAGGGAGCAGATGCTTCTGCCTCACTCTGGGGCAGACAGTGGAGAGGGAAGACCCCACATCCTCCCCCACAATGATCAGATATGGGTTTTGCTTCATCTGTCCCTTCATACTATTTAGGAAGAGACTTCTTCTCTGGGGGGTGAGTACCAAATGAAGGACGAGAGGGAGGAGTTTCTTACTATAGAATATAAAAGTGCACCTTACTTTCCCTCATCCTCACCCCCAGCATATACATACATACATATTTAAAATAGTACCTCCTCCTTTGTGGAGTGTTCAGTGCCTGGTGGCCAATTGTCATTTTACACAAAGGCACATGGTTGATAAAATTTTATTTTGTCCCGTGTGATCAATAAGTCTCATTCCCTGCAAACATATACTGGTAGGAACTTTCCTCTAAGTGTTGGCTGCCAAGTAGGTGTACGGGCAGCAGAAAGTGGAAGGACAAACTTGAACTTCCCAAAAGAACAAGGATGAGGCTCACATTCTTCCCCTTCCACCTTTAAAATTGGCCCCTTTCTTCCTAAACGTTGGTGCTGTAGTGTGTGTGTTGGGTTGTGTGTGAAAGAGCAACAAACAATTTGGTTCGTTTCTTAATTAACAGAAGTGGGTCTCACTCTGCCCTTCCTCCCTATGGATACAGAATTTTGAGTTCTGTAATGAACAAAGGTGACGCTCACTCTCCCCTCTCCCCACACTCAGTATATGAGTAGTGGTTGTCAATGAGGTACAGTTGGCAGTGTAAGGCCAAGTGTAAGAGACACTTCACCACCATGCACAATTATTTTTTTTAAAGAACCCCAGACTTAAACCTAGCACTTTTCCCCCTCCACCCTAACTCTGAACATAATTTAGCTATGAGGCACCTAGGCAAACCGCAAGGCCCTACGGAATAAGAGAACTTTGAGAGGTGTTAGGAAAAAGATCGCCCACAGAACCTAACCAGGCAGAAGCTGAAACCTAAACATGTCCCTAAACAAACACAAATGGTGCCTTATAGCTAAATTATGTTCAGGGCATTTTATATATCTTTAGCTAGCTCCTAGTTTTTAAAACTGTTCCTCCCTTACTAAATCACATCGCTTTTAAAAAATCTCTTATTCTCTATTCAAAATAGTTTGGTCATTCCAATTCCCCTCCCATTTAAAAAAAACCTCTAGACCCCTCTGCGTTTTAAACCTTTAGAATCATCGCATTAAACATATTTTTCTCTGCAGTCCCCCTCCATCCGTACGCCAGATAAAGCCCCCCCCCAAAATATTTATATTAAAATGGGGTGCTGGGGGCGGTGGAGAAAAAAGGGGGAGGGGAAAACACGGGTTTTCCTTCCTTTTTGAAGTACTTTTACATTTACAGCCCCCTCCCCTTTTCAAAAATACTTGAATATCATCCCCCTTTCTTATTCCGGTCTTTTTTTAAAAAAAAAAGCTCTAGAGCTCCCTCCCTTTTTCAAAGTATAGTTTCATCTCTAGTCCCCCTACATGTCCTACTTTATCTCTATCCTCTCCCTATACGCACACACGTATACATATACACAGGTATTTATTTATATGTATGAGGTGCTAGTGGGGGAAAAGAGGGTCATGGAGAAAAAGGGAGGGGCGTGGCCAAACCAAGCCCAGCCCACCTCGGGCCCTTCGTGCGGAGGGGCGTGGCTTATAGGGCGTGGCCTGCGCGACAAGGCCGCGGCCCGTCAGGCGAAGCGAGGCGCCTGCTTTGGGGGGGGGGTTCTCTTTCTCTTTTCCTCCGCCTCCTCACCTCCTCAAAGCGGCGCTGGCGGGCAGGGCGGGCATGTCGGCGGGGACGTGGGTCTTTTTATTTCCTTCCTTCTCGCGGGCGAAGCAGTGACTGTTGAGGATCCGCTGCAGGGAGGATTTCACCATCCGGGCCGCCCCCTGGTCGCCGAACCCCCGGTCGGGTCTTTCCCCCCGCCGCCTCCTCCTCCTCCTCCTTCTCGGCTCCCCCTCGCGGCAGCTGCTTCCCTTCCTTCTTCTCCCTTCGGCTGCACAAAATGGCGGACCGGAACGTTCCGACAGCCGCCTTTATGTAGTGGTGGGCGGGGCCCGGGGGCCTTATGGCCACGCCCACCTCGCGCGTTTTACGCCTATGAGAGCAAAGGCCGCGTCTACCTTCTAGCATAAGTTGGGTTGCCCCGCCCACTCCTCCGCAAATAAGGGCAAGGCCACGCCCACTTCTTCTCCCTCGCTCCCCCCTCCCTGTTCCACCTCTTTTTTCATCTTTACCGTTTTTCCTCTCTGAGGTAAACAATATTTTCTTTCCCCTCCCCCACTCGCCGTGAAGGGCTTTCCTGATTGGCTGAGGGGCCGCGGCGCAGAAAAGGAAGGAGGCGGGTTAAGATGATTGGCAGCTCGCAGAATACTTTCACACAAACGCACATAAAAGAGGCAAGGCGGAGCCGTGCTGAAGCGGACTTCTCTAATTGGCCGAGGGAGATGATCTTGGCGATTCGATTGGCTGAGACGGTGGCATTCTTGAAGTAAGTTGAAAATGAGAGAGAGAGAGAGATGGAGGGGGCAGCGCCTCGGTGAGCTGAGGTAAGTTGCGCATGCGCAGATGTGGAAGCGCGAGGGGGGCTCTTATTACTATTCCCTCATAAATAAATACCTCGTTATTGAATAATATAAAGTTTTATCCATTAGGTAAAACAAATATAAATATTAAATATCCACAAACTCCTTCCTAGAAAACATTCTCCTCAGACGCTCATAAATCGCCTCAGCTGAAATAAAAATAAATACTTTTGAAATAATCACACATGAACGCTGAGAAACCCATTTAATCCACAGGATTTCCATAAAACAAATATTTCTCATGAAGAATAATTTTCCACAGATAATTTCTTAAAATGTGGATTCCCCTCCCCTCTTTTCTCTTTACCTCATAGAATAGCTCCTCAAGGCACGAACAGAAAACCCCTCATTTTATCCCCCTTTTATCGCATTTTCTATAACAGATTATGTTATATTTGCTTATTAATATCCTACAGCCTTTTAAATGTATCTGTGGGAAGGGGGAGTTACTGTTTCATTGTTTTAATTTAATTATTCACTTGTGTTTTGACTTGTATTTTATTATGTGAACTGCCCTGGGGATCTCTTGATGAAGGCCGGTTAATTATGATGATGGTTGTATACAACTGTGATAGGAATTTTATGGTCTTAAACATGTTTACTCAGAAGTAAGCTCCATTGAATTCAGTGGGGCTTACACAGAGACAATGCACACGGCTAGGCCCATTCATTTCAATGGGTTTCCTCTTCACTGGATGCAGGCCCAGTTACCTCGACCATGTATAGAATTTATTATTATTATTATTATTATTATTATTATTATTATTCAATTCCCTGTGGTTACATTGATAAACCCATATAGAACACACACAACCCCCACGAAAGAAGCTTTTTCAGATTTAAAAATCCCTTGACCCTTAACCGTACATTTATTTAGTTCTAAAAATATATTTATCAGCCATCAAACTAATTATTGTGGGGGCAGGAAACACTCAGGTTGCTGCACGATGAAGACTGCAAAATCATAAAATCATAACATAAAAAAGGAAGGGAAAAAAAAGAATGGCCAACACTGAATTAAATAAAGGGAACCTCCATACTGGTATGGGGTTGTTTTTTTCTTTGTGGCTGTATTCTGCCATCATTGTGCACATCAGTCATAGGAAATAAATCTTTCAGTGTGGAGGCACCTAGGCTTTGGAACTCCCTGCCTCTTGACACCAGGCTGAGCTTTTTTGGTGCCCGCTTGAACCGCTTTTGGTTAGGCAAGGCCATCCAGACGTCGACATATTTTAATCTTTGGCCACGTCTGCACTATACATTTAAAAGCATTATCATGAAATGATCTATAATGAAATTAAGAAGGTTCTTAAATGGACCTTCTCTAAAAAGCCTGAGGCTTTTCTCCTGGGCATGGTTGGCCAATTGGTGACAAGGAAGGATAGGACGTTTTTTATGTATGCTACTGCAGCAGCAAGAATTCTTTTGGCAAAGTATTGGAAGACACAAGAGTTACCCACTCTGGAAGAATGGCAGACGAAGGTGATCGACTATATGGGACTGGCAGAGATGACCGGCAGAATCCGTGATCAGGGGAAAGAGACAGTGGAAGAAGACTGGAAGAAATTTAAAATATATCTTAAAAATTGTTGTAAAATTGAAGTGTAATGAGATGTTAAGGTGTTAAGAAATAGAGAATTGCAGCTGTAAACAATAAGTTAAGGAAATTAGAATGAAAGTGAATGAATTAATCAGTTGGAGGGTTGCTGAAGAAAGGTAAAAACAAGGATGCAGAAAAGGGGAGGTATGGGGAAGTCCGGGAAGCAAGGTGTAGGAAGATAAGATTATGAAAGTATACATGTTTATATGTTTGTATGTTTTGTTTGTTTTGTTTGATTGTTTGGTTTTATTATATGCTTGGAAAATTAATAAAAATTATTATAAAAAATAAATAAATAAATAAAATAAAAGCATTATATCATACCACTTTAAACAGTCATGGCCTCCTCCCTCCAGCAAAGGATCCTGGGAACTGTAGTTTGCTAAGGATTGCTCAAATTCAAAAAACCCCGAAGATCATGGCCACTGGTCCCATCACCTCCTGGCAAATAGAAGGGGAAGAAATGGAGACAGTGAGAGATTTTACTTTCTTGGGCTCCATGATCACTGCAGATGGTGACAGCAGCCACGAAATTAAAAGACGCCTGCTCCTTGGGAGAAAAGCAATGACAGGCCTAGACAGCATCTTAAAAAGCAGAGACGTCACCTTGCCAACAAAGGTCCGTATAGTTAAAGCTATGGTTTTCCCAGCAGTGATGTATGGAAGTGAGAGCTGGACCATAAAGAAGGCTGATCGCTGAAGAATTGATGCTTTTGAATTCTGGTGCTGGAGGAGACTCTGGAGAGTCCCATGGACTGCAAGAAGATCAAACCTCTCCATTCTGAAGGAAATCAGCCCTGAGTGCTCACTGGAAGGACAGATCCTGAAGCTGAGGCTCCAAGACTTTGGCCACCTCATGAGAAGAGAAGACTCCCTGGAAAAGACCCTGATGTTGGGAAAGATGGAGGGCACAAGGAGAAGGGGACGACAGAGGATGAGATGGTGGGACAGTGTTCTCGAAGCTACCAGCATGAGTTTGACCAAACTGCGGGAGGCAGTGGAAGACAGAAGTGCCTGGCGTGCTCTGGTCCAGGGGGTCACAAAGAGGACACGACTAAACGACTAAACAACAAGGATTGCTGAGAGTTGCCAGGCAGCTCTCTATTTGCACAGAGCTACAGTTTCCAGAAGATTTAACTATCCATCTATCCCAGAAGATTTAACTATCAATCCCTCTTCTCAGGAAAACTATAGCTCACTGAGGGGAATAAGGACCTCTTAAACACAATTTAGCTGCTTTTAATATTGGGTCAGATCATTGGTGCAGGTCATATCGTACATTATATTCCTTTATCATTCTCATTCCTTTTTCTCATATTTCCAGCCATGCCTGCGATTTCATTTGAGTATAATATTTTCTCAGATAGTCCGAAAAGGATCTCCACTCTTCCACAAACATTTTGTCTTTTAGGTCTCTTATTTTTGCCGTCAATTTCACCATCTCCATACAGTACAATCGTTTTAATGTCCACTCCTCTTTTGTCGGAACTACTTCTTCTTTTCATTTCTGGCTGCAGTGGAAACATACACAAACAATTTAACCAAATTTTAGGACCTCTTCCCCTATTATTTCCAAAAAGAAATGCTTCAGGCTTTTTTTTGGGGGGTGACTATTTCAAACATCCTCAATTCATTGTTTATCATTTCCCAAAAGCCTGCCACTTCTTTACAATATGAAGAAATGACGCTTCAGCGCTTCCAAAATTTACTTGATACAGTCTTGTACATCTTGGCCAGTTTATTCAGTGCTTAATGCTGAGTCAGATTATTGGTGCATCTCATTCAGTATTTCCTACACTGGCTGGCAGTGGCTCTGCTTCGCAGGGGAGCTCAAGGTTTGAACTCAGGATTCCATGCCTGCAAAAGAGATGCTCTACGGCTGAGTTATATGTGGAGTTGGCAAGTCTGGCAACAAAAATTAGAGACCAGGAGGCATCAGTGTTAAGGGGGAGTGGAAGCCTTTCATAGAATATTTGCAGAAATATAACAGATAAATTTGCAAGTAGGATTCAAACTGTGAACAGCAGTGAAAAACAATTTAGATATTAAGCTAAGTTGAAGAGGGCTGTTAGGTATGATATGCAGCAAGATAAGGAGAAATAAGGAAACCCTGGGATGGAGGATAAATTCATATGTATTAGAAAGAATGGTATCAAATATGTACTTTGCCAATGCAATTCTGGGCTGCATCAATAGGAGTATAGCATCTAGATCAAGGGAAGTAATAGTGCCACTGTATTCTGCTCTGGTCAGACCTCACCTGGAGTACTGTGTCCAGTTCTGGGCACCACAGTTCAAGAAGGACACTGACAAACTGGAACGTGTCCAGAGGAGGGCAACCAAAATGGTCAAAGGCCTGGAAACGATGCCTTATGAGGAACGGCTAAGGGAGCTGGGCATGTTTAGCCTGGAGAAGAGGAGGTGAAGGGGTGATATGATAGCCATGTTCAAATATATAAAAGGATGTCATATAGAGGAGGGAGAAAGGTTGTTTTCTGCTGCTCCAGAGAAGCGGACACGGAGCAATGGATCCAAACTACAAGAAAGAAGATTCCACCTAAACATTAGGAAGAACTTCCTGACAGTAAGAGCTGTTTGACAGTGGAATTTGCTGCCAAGGAGTGTGGTGGAGTCTCCTCCTTTGGAGGTCTTTAAGCAGAGGCTTGACAACCATATGTCAGGAGTGCTCTGATGGTGTTTCCTGCTTGGCAGGGGGTTGGACTCGATGGCCCTTGTGGTCTCTTCCAACTCTATGATTCTATGATTGTATACTTTGAAAAATTTGAAATAAAATATATATTAAATA